AATATGGCCAGAGTGTTTTCTTGAGAACATGGAGCGTATCTCGAGTGGTTTATATACTACGACCATAAGCCCTATAGAAAGTCACTATGTGTGTTACGCCCCGATCCCAACATACATCCCGGATCGACACATGACGTCACTAAGTATCCGTATCTCTAACATACCCCGCCTTTGGGATATGTGCAAACACAACTCACGATCCAACTACGTAGTAATTTTTTATACACTTGATGGCTGCATCTAACCTCCTCGTTAGATTGCCTACGTACCCTACACAGGGATCAAGCCATTCGGGGAAGAAGTCGCGCATCATGATGGCAACGAACGATCTTCGTGTTGCAATTTCATCATCCTCAACATTTTCATGTAGCTTTGGAGGTTAACGAGTGCTGCTTTGCCCTCTTTCCGATTGGTGAACTTGTGAAAGAGATGTATGCTTCGTGTGCAGTTTCTTTGGAGTGACATGAGTCCATCCTTCAACTTCACTTGACTTAACTGACATGGTTTTAGAGCATGCCCTCAGCGGTTGAGGTGAAGATTTTGAGTTGAAAGAGCCAGAAGTGACGGTGGTATAGTTTGACTTCACCACATCTTCAAGATCTAGCTCGATGATTCCTTTCTGAGTCAGCTTCATGATGAGATCTTTCAGCACGAAGCACTTTTCCTTCAGATGACTGATGAAACGGTGGAATTTACAATACCTTGGACTGTCAGTATGATTCTTCTCTTCCATCCGTCTGCACTCAGGTAGGTTGATCACCTTTTTTTCAAGCAAGTTTTTCAACATGGCAACCACATTAGAGTCGGGGAATGGATAAGTCTTCTCCTCAAGTTCCTTCAAAGTGCGTCTACACATCTCTTGATCACGAAAAGCTTCGGTTTGAATCGCCTTACCTCGTTATAGATTTTGACTGGAGCTGTGTTGACCGTCATTGCTTCCTTGGTGGGTTTCCATGCAGCCTTATCCACCTTTGGCCTAAAAAATTTGTCGTTCTTGTAGTTGGCGATCAGTTCTTTCTTCCCATGATGGGCGATGCTTAAATCCATGTCATGGGCGCGGGTGGCTAACTCCTCGAAGGTCCGTGGTTTGATGTCTTGAATGATCTAGTGTAATTCTCACTGCATGCCTTGAACACATATCTCGATCGATGAGGTTTCTGAAAGTTTGTCTTTGCAGTTTAGACTTAGAGTGCATCATTGGTTGATGTAGTCAACAACTGGCTCATCCTTCCACTGCTTTGTATTTGTGAGCTCCAGCATGCTTATAGTGTGGCTGATACTGCAGAAACGGTTAAAGAATTCCCACTCCAACTGCTCACAGCTGTTGATGGACTCAGGCTCTAGGTCCGTGCACCAGTCGAATGCATTCCCATTTAGTGAGCGGACAAACTGTGTTGTGAGGTAGTCTCCTTCAGTCATCGCGTTGTTGCAAGTCTCAACAAAATGAGCGACGTGTTGTTTTGGGTTTCCCTTTCTATCAAACTGCATAAACTTTGGTGGTTGGTACCCCATCGGCATCTGCAAGCTATCAATCTTTTTGGTGTATGGCTTTGAGTATAGCAGTGCATTCTACGAAGTGCCTCTCACCTGTGTTCTGACAGTGTTGGCAATCATGTCCTGGATATGTTGTATGGAAAGAGAGCCTATAAGTGTCATTGTTTGGTCTGGCTTCTCCTCGACTTTCTCCACCAGAGACTCATCTTCTTTGTTGACTTCATTCTTTAGTGGATCAACCTTTAGGTCGCGGTCAACTTTTTCGTCATGCTGCGCCTCCAATCAGTTGATGAGTGCGGTGATTTGCAAGTCCTTCTCCTCTGCGGTCCTTGTGAGCCTTACAATTGCTTCACTTATTTAAGCCAGTTGTTATTTAATAGAGGTAACGCTGATGGTCATGACTTAGGCAACCAAAAGATGCGATTTTCCTTCAAACATCCAGGGTGCTGACGAAGAACCCCGTTGCCCGTTTTGGGATGTTATCTTGTGCGCCTCAGCAGCATGCTTCAGTGTCCCCAGCGATATCAGGTTGATGACGGACTCGCGCCTCCTTTGTTCCTTTAGGGGTACCGAATTTGAAGCGGCATGTTGAGGAGCGGTTGTGAAGCTAATGGATTGTCAGTTTGCAGCATAAATGCTCAGGATCCTTCCCTTGGTGGTTGCGAGAACGGCTTGTCCCTTGATTGATGCCATTGATTTTAAGGTGTGTTCGGATTTCTTAACGGAAAAAGAGATGAGAGGTAGAGATTATCCCATCGGCCGTGCCAAATTTGTAAACACTAATTTTCCTGCGATGAAACGAGACAAGAACACGTATACAAAATAATATTTGTATTAATGATTTTGGGGTTACAAAGTGCAGCCCATTTATAGAGGTTTCACCATACAATCAATTGGTAATATGGAGACTAATGCAACTACTTGTAAGCACATATAAGGCCATTCTTTCCACAATATGGGATTCACTATCAAAACATCCCTCCACCTGTAGCAAATTTTCAAGTCTAACACGTGGAAAACACAAACAAGGTGATGTGGAACATGTGGAACACAAATAGGGACCTTGGATGTACTTATAAGTAGTTGGGCTACTCTCTATATTGACAATTGGTTTTCACGGTGCAACCTTAACTTTTTTCATAATATTAGAGCATGTTGTTTCATGTGTGAAACCCAATGGCCACATATACGTGCTCCACGTCACCCTATTTGTGTTATACATGTGTTAAGCTTGAAACTTCGCCACACGTGAGGAGGTGTGTTGAAAGTGAATCCCCAATTGGAGAAATGAGGTTGCATGTACTTATAAGTAGTTTGACTCCTTCCTATATTGCCAATTAGTTTTATACTAGAATCTCGACTTTCTTCATTTACCGCTGTGATGTGAAATCCAGCAACATTTTGCTCCATGAAAATTTTGAGGCAAGAGTTTCAGACTTTGGGGATTTTGAGGCTGGTTAAGGATAGTATTGTTTTCTTTTTTTTTTGGAGAGGAAGATATGATTTTGGTGTTGTACATGAAGAGGGTACTAAAAAAAGAGAGGTTGATGGATATTGTTGATTCAGTTATTAAAGAGGGAGCTGCCAAGCGAGAATTGCGACGATGAGGCACTGGGATTTCTCGCACAATCGGTACTTGAATGATAAGAGGCGCATTCGGCCTTCAATGAAAGAAGTTGCTGATGTTATTATTCACAGGATTGGCATTGTTACGAGTTTTATACCTGCACCCGAGTCTGTGAACAAGGTCGTGGTAACTAGTCCAAATCCTAATTAAAAAGAGTATGGCTTATTAAACTATGACATACCCCGATCTGTATATGCAAGTGAACACCCGAAATCGAGACATGCGACTGACATCTAGAAGAAAAAAAAAAAGAAAAATTAATTGAAACAATTCCTTGTTGTCAATAAATGAAAACTTATGGTCTATTTGAAAACAAACGCCCCGACTATTTATACGTCCCGACTGTTTATAAGTTTAGATTTCAAATATACCAAGAGACCAAATTTATCAAAATTCAAATATAGCACCAACCAAATGTACACATTTGACAGGTAACTAAAAATACCGATTATCAGACGTATCTAACAACGAGTTTTTGAACATTTTGTTTGATTTACTGAAATAAGTATTTGAATAAACAATAAAAAAATTTGAAATCACCATAATAAGAGGTACTTAATAATAATAGGAGAAAAAAGGGAGTGCTAGTAAAGATATAACAAAAAAAAATCTTAAAAATTTACCATTATTAAAGTAGAATGATGAGGGTTCGAAACTATTATAATAATTTAAAGGTGGTGGAGTTTCGAATATAAGACACATAGGTGGAAAACCAACGCTTTATCCACTAGAAGCATGAACTACATGCTGAAGAAATAAATCTCTTATAAAATTAAATAACATGAAATTGATCACCAAAATTTAAGGAAAATATTTAATCAAATTTTCACAAGAAAGATACAATTAGTCTATAATATTTAAAAACGAGACATCATATCAAAATACCTCTCAAATAGTTCAAATGCTTTTTTACGAGGCCACCAAGTTGGGCACTTTCTCAATCGCAAAGCCATAGGCCCATAGATGATAGATGATAGCCCAATACTAAACTTATATTGCATTTTCCTTACGAGTGATGTTAAGTTCACCCCAGTGTCTTATTTCCACACCCACTATAAAATGATACTCTTATGATATTCTTATTGACAAATTTATCCTAGTGTAAAATAACCTCTAAAGACCTAAATACCTAAAGACCAACCAATCATATAAAAAAAACCTAAATTATCATAAATAAGAAAAAGAAAAAAAATATAATGAACCCCACAAGCTTTCCTGGGGAAGGAAGTTCAGAAATTAAACTTATTAGCAAGATGGTGAATTCGAACTTGACAAAGGAAAGCCTCGAGGCTCACAATAAAGCACATGTTGTGGAAGGGGTGATCAAGCTTCACCAGAGAGTAGAGCAAGTTAGTATTCAAGACTATTATAATGTTGAGATAGATGAGAAGAGAAGCTCATAGTCCAGATTACATTAGGGGACTCATGGATCCGACACTCGTTGAACTCTGATCGTGTGTTGGTGTTTTGGAACAATTTGGATACCTACCATATACTGAATTTGGAGGAATTTGATATTAGGGAAAGCCAGTACAGCACCAAACTATGAGTGAAGCTCTTCCAATTTAATCATACTCTCTCTTGTATGGTTTGAATTCAAATTGGAAACGATAAAAATTGGGTGCTGGAGCGATTTTCGAGACGTGGTGGTGCTGCGATGGTTGGCGATAAAGGAGGGGCGCTTGGTGTTGTGGATTTGGGGTGTCGATAGTGACGGTTCTGCAAATTTTCTGGGGAGAGGGCTGCTGCTGGTGATACTTGGAGTTCTTGGGTATTTTCATTTAGTGATAATTGTTTTTTTTTTATTTATTTGTAATCATTTTTTTAAAGCAAGAAAAAATTGAAAAAGAAATATGTAGAGTTATTTTGGAAATAATGGTGGGTGGGAAAAGAGTTGATGTATTTTTTCACTTTTTATGGTGGTGTAAATATAAGGTGAGTGCGGAAATAAGACATTGGGGTGGGCATATCACAACTCTTTCCTTACACCCCCAAGCAAAAGGGCGAAACCCTACTCCAATTGCAAAATACTAAACCATCTGAATTTTCAGCCATAGCCGGACCTCAAATGTCTCTCTCCTCGAAGCTCCGCAGGCCGTCCCACTCAGCCCTAGCCCCTGCCGTCCGAGCCGTTGGATCAGCACCCACCCTTCACCACGGGATGTCCACCGTCCCTACTTTCAGCCCTCAGTTCATCCGGAGAAGCTTTGTTCCAGTTCATCGATTCTCCACCGCCGCTGATCCAGCCGGCGATCACAGTATGATCAAATTCTTTGAGTCCCAGATGAAGTATGTCTACGACGAGAAATCCAAAAATCGGTAAGCGTATAACTTTTAGTTTCCAATTTTTACTCTTAAAATTGCTGTTTTCTTACTTGGAAGTTGTCTTTTAAAATCCAAAACCTACGGCGGAGTTAAATCGGTGACCATACCTTTCATTTCTTTTTTCCTCGGTGACTTGGATGAGAAGTTGAAGAATGCTTTGCATGAGTATCTCGAGGATCGAAAGACCGAGGACACCAGGAAGAAGCGTGAGGAGATTTTGTATTTCAAAAACAGTGGCAAGTCAGGAAAAATCTTCTTCGCCCACAAAGAGATAGCACGAGCAACCAACTTCTTTTTCAAAGACAACATAATCGGCTCCGGTGGCTTTTCTCAGGTCTTCAAGGGCACTCTTCATGACGCACTATCAAGCGCACCAAGCATGGTGACACCAAGGACATTGATCATATTCTTAACGAGGTTCGGATTCTCTGCCAGGTGAACCACAGGAGCCTGGTGAGACTCATTGGCCGCTGTATCGAGCTTGATCAGCAACCTATCCTCGTATATGAGTACGTTCCAAATGGAACTCTTTCTGATATCTTCACTGTCGTCACAGCGGAAAATGGGCTCCAATTGGTTGGCGTCATAGGCTCCGAATTGCTCACCAAACAGCTGAAGGCCTTGCTTATCTTTCACTCTTCTGCAGTGCAGCCCATTTACCACGGTGACGTGAAATCCAGCAACATATTGCTGGATGAAAATTTTGAGCCAAAACTTTCAGACTTGGGGATCTCGAAGCTGGTTGAGGACAGAGAAACCAGCACTCAGGGGACTCCCGGTTATCTAGACCCTGACTACCTCAGTAACTTTCAGCTCCCGGATAAGATCGACGTTTACATCTTCGGTGTTGTACTGTTGGAGCTGTAGACTTCTCAGGAGGTTATCGATTTCAACAGACGAGAGGAAGATACGAGATTGGTGCCGTACATGAAGAGGGTATTGAAACAAGGGAGGTTGATGGATACTGTCGATCCAGTTATTAAGGAGGGAGCTAGCGAGCAAGAATTGGAGACGATGAAGGCGCTGGGATTTCTTGCCCGATCGTGCTTCAATGATCAGAGGCGCAATAGGCCTTCAATGAAAGAAGTTGCTGATAAGATTAAGTATATGATCGGCTTTCTTACTAATTTCGAGTCATGTCCCTGCATCCGAGTACCTGCGACAAGGCCGTGGTAACCAGTCAGAATCCTAATTCAGAAAGGTATGGCTCATCAAACTGTATAAACTTTTCTATTATTCAACTGTCATCAAGGTCCATGCCTCGACCAATCGATACATGTTTTCTAGCATACCAAAATGAATGAACCCTAAGAAATGAGTAAGAGGCAAAGAATTTGAGGGAAGATATATCAAGAAGCCCTTGTAGTTTCGAGATGATTATTCAGCCAAACCTCCGTGATCCATCCGTCTCTTTGAATCCTCGGGCCTTTATATAGTGGCACTACAAAGTTGACAAAAATACACATAACCAACAAACAAAAGTAAAACAAAACGCGAACACAAAGCTCAGTTACATTGCATGATGGTTGAACGTGGGGTGTTGTCCACATGCTCCGTTCGCACATCTGTTGTGCACTGCAGGAGGCAAATCCATGAAATAACTAATGTGCATGTAGTTCCAAGATATAAATTCCATGCCTAAATCCCGGGAGGGCAGGCAAACAAGAAATCATATTGAATCTGTAGAACTGCTTCAATACGTCTCTGTACATTAAGTGGATTAAGATATGATACTGTTGAGGGTGCAACATAAAAAAGACACATTGAAATAAAATACGAGGTTGCTAAATTGCCTCAGAAAAAACAAATGAGGCAAGTTGCAGACTTTTCCATTTACGAGTAAATAAATGAATGCTGTAGCGTAAATGTATCATCGGTAGAACTGAAAAACACAACCCTCTAAACTAATGCCGATAGGATCCAAAACATCACGTGAGAGGATATGGAAGTAAGGATCCAGGTGACAAAAGCGAAGGAAACTGCAAGCATGTAGCTACCACATGGTAAACCCCATCTACCTGTGCAGAAATGAAAGTCTCTTACAAACAGAATTGCAATCCCTGATGAAGAGCTTGCAGCAGCCAGTGATAAAGTAGCTGTTACCTGAAACATTTAAATTTGGATTTATTTCAGCAGCCGGTATTCGACCTCAAACGTACACAAGACATAACATCAGCCATAAGGGATGTGAAAAGAGTTAAAGGGACGAGTGACATACCCAATCACCGACAACAAATAGCCTCACTAGTAATTTATTTTGAAGGTCTCTCTTTTTGCTCAAAGCATAAATATCAAGACAAGCAAGCCCCAAGCTCCATAGCACTTGAAGTGCCATCGACGAAACCAAATAGCTGAACCATAGGACAGAGATCAACACGAAGCTTTTGCAGAACAATTAACCACCAGTTATTGAAGAAAAGATTCATAACCTATCTGAGATGGAAAACTATGAGAAACAAACAAATTTGGCAAATTGGTTTCACTTTGCTTATGTTTAAATCTCCGAAAAACTTTCAAAAATACAAAGCAATGCACATGTCGATGACTAGTGTACCGATAATTTCTGCACTCGTGTATCAACAAGGTCAGTGGATTATGCACTAATCTCATTCTAAGGTGATACATATAGTTCTATAACTGTATGCTAATTCTGTAACTCCACCACTCGTAAACAGTAACGCCGAAAATTTCTCAGGTTGATCTCCTCAGTGTTTGAATTTCAATTTCAACTATCACGGCCGGATTCGGGTCATATATTTACATGTCAATAAAACATAAGCAGCTTAAACCAGTCAAAAGCAGTTCACCACTGTAACAGTCTAAATCCTAAAGGCAATTAGATACCAAATTTCAAACCAAAACTTATAAAATTCAATAAAAATAATTAGGAAAACCAATAAATAATGACTTCTGGTAAATTAAAGTGCAAGAAAATGAAATAACGGAACAAAAAACAATAAATAAAAATACCAGAAACAGGTGAATTCAGCGAAGCGGTCGGTGGTGACCATGACGGCGATGGCGATACCAGCACATGAAAATTGCGATACCCTCAGCAGCAACCCGCTCACAGACCCAGGTCTCCCGAGCAGCTCCTTCATTTCTGAACCGGATCGAGCAGAGAGTCTAGAGAGAGACAGGGGAGCGAGAGAGAGGGCCCTAAAATCCAAAACCCTAAACCTCACGCTCCTCCCATACGGCTTCCATCTCCCCCAATCTCCGCCATGAAATCCTCCACTTTCCGATTTCAATCGGAGGAAACGGGTGTCGAAATCGTTGATTGGATTAAGTTGGATTCGGGAAGATCCAGGGAATCCCAATCAGTGGTTCTGATCGATTTGATTTCTTTGATTCCAAATTAGGAAATCGTCGCATTAAAGAAACCCTAATGTTGATTTATGACTGATCTTGGTTGTTTAAGGACGGAATTAATGTCCGGTCGTGGTGGACTCGAGATATCGATTGAGAGTTTTTCAGCGATTACTAATTAATTAGCTTGTGAGGTTGAGTAGGGCCCATTGACCGACACTTCCTACGTGGACTCCTTTTTCATGTTACTCGCTGCGAACGTGTACATATGTGGGAGAGGAAATCGTGGATCCAGCATCACGTGAACGGACTTGTAGAGTTATTTAATAAAAAAGGGTAATGATATAAAAACTAATCATTTATTAAATTTACAAAAAAATAGATGTGTCATCACTTTGAAATAAGCATTAATTAACATTGAGTAATAAATTCAGTCATCAACAATCACATCATTTAGTTTAAAAATTTAGTCTCCTTAACATTATCCAGTAAAATATCGTCGTGATGGTGGATTATCCAAAAGGAAGAAGGTGTATGTCTTTTGTTGAGAGACTGGATCTAGAGACCAAGTGAAGGGGTAGACTGTCCGACTCAACATATACACATGTTACATATTGGTTTTTATTATTTATTCGAGTCTTTGATTGCATAATCGTAACCATGTGGCAATGTTTTATTGCACAGTTGGATAAACATAGGTAGTATGTATTTTAATTAGGAATGTCTCGGCTTCGAAATTATTACAATAATCTAAAAAATGAGAGAGTTTCAAATGTGTGACGAATGGTAGAAAACTCAACACCCTAAATCTCACAGTTCATCCCGAAATATCATTTATCGCGAATGTCAAATGACGGAATTACCCTTAATGGTTGCTAAGGTTTGTGTGACATGTTATTTGAATATTGCATACTCTCCTAAATTCTTGGAAAATTTTAAGTGGATTAAAAGTTGTATACAATTTGTGTGGTTAGGGACTTAAAGAATTTTGGATTGTGGTTTGTTTTGGGTGGACCACACACACACACGGCACACGCACACTCACCCCGTGCCCTATCTCTCCTCCCTTTCAGTTCACTCTCTCTCTCTCCCTTTCGAACTTGTACGGACAAGAACCAAACCCCTCAAAACTTCACAGATCGACGTCAAAAAGGTGAGTTCCTTCATCCTTACAACCTCCTGAATCGATTGGTACTATTTTTAGAACTGGAAACCCTCGAAATCACGTCGAAACCGTAACCCAGTTTGATGTCATTGTTCATGCACACGTGAAATGTTGGTTTTCAGGGAATTCTAAGCCTACAAGTAGTGAGGTCCCTGTTGGAAATTATATATTATAATATAAAATATGGTAATATATAATTTTAATAATTGAATGAAAAATAGTGTTAACCAATTTCTTAGAAAGGTTATGTTGTTTAGGTGTATTCTCTTGATAAGTGATGTATACTTATAGATGAAAAGTTACATTTCCTTAACAAAAAGTACTTGGGTTCTATATAAACTCATGAAACCATTATCACTAATATATAGAAAATTAGAGTTAATTTTTACTCTTGAGAAATAGGGTTTCCCCACTTTGTTTCTCAAATGATTTGTGTGTCAAATTCCGAGTTGTGTCTTAAGAGTACAGAATATATGAAGTTCGCCAGAGTCCGAAGATTGAAGTGCTTTGACTTCGGATTATAGATTGTTGAATCCTGGGAGATGGACGCCTACTGAACTACAAGCACAAGAGTATGGGCGAAATTCTATCTTTAGGACATTGCATTTATGCAAGCCTCAATCTCCAAGTTTGTCAGTTATTCTAACTTTCTCTTTAGTTGTTTATATTAATCTCATATATAATTGATGTTGTGAAATTTCTTTATGATTATTATCATTGGAATTATATTGTTATTTTCTCATATTTTCTATTATTGCTCCAAAAATCTAAAGATAGAATTTTATATCTCTATGCAATTAGAAAATATGAGTAAAGCCTAGGGCTTTAGAGATTCGCAATGAAAAAATATTGTAAAGATAGATCAGGGATAGATTATGTGTTGAAAGTTGTATATATAGTACACAAAACAACACAAGAATTTTGGGATTTATTGATGATGATGATGATGATGATGATGATGATGATGATGATGATGATGATGATGATGATGATTAAGATAGAAGGTTATTTGTCTTATATATATTTATTAGAAATTATAATCTAACTGCTTTCAAATTAATGTCAGTTTGAATTTAACTTCTTTTGGCAGTCTGGGCATATCGCCTAACTGGCAATGTTTAAACGTTTGAGGCCTGATAAAACTATTTTGCATGTCGCCCAATTGGCAGTGTTGTTGTCAATTATGTAAATTCTATGATATAAATTTCGTGTATGGCTGTTACATTATATGCATGTTTATATATTAAACTGCTTCCTATATAGAAAGGATGGAGATTCTTGTTTCCAGAAAGACACAGTGATAACAATTTTTATCATGTGGTTGCTGCAATTTTTATGTGGTCCATTTAAAGATCATATTCAGTGTGATTGCTGCAATTTTTATAATGTGTTTGCTGCAATCTTTATCATGTGTCTACTTTAAATGAAGAAAGGTGTCGGTTCATGCCAAGTGAACACCAAAGTGGTGTACTGGATCCATACCAGTTAATGAAAGAGTTCCTTTTACAGAAAGGAGATGTGCCGAAATAGAGAAGTTTGGCATTTGAAATACGCCAAATGCCATTGGATTTTTCTATTAAAAGGAATGTAATGGTTTGTTTGATTCTAATCAGACGCATCCATGAAGGTTTTCTTTATGAAAATATAGAATAAAAATGTTGATTTGAATTGGTATATCTCACAAGCAATGCATAGTTTGCATTCTAAATGCAGACACGTTGTGAAAGAGCAAACTTCGTATGGATCATTTGGTCCAAATGAATGAGCAGGTTTCAGAAGTTGTCTCTCTTCCATTGGTGTAGATATATGTGTAACCGCTCGTCTGAATAAGTTATCAATTGCTTGGAGACGCCATTCACCAAACTGGTAATCTACAACCATGGTGGGTCAGTTGGCAAGTTGTATATATCAAAGTGAATTTGATATGTGAGTGGTTTCATGGTGATCTGCAAGTGTCATGGAAAATTGCCAATTGTGAAATGAATCTTGTGTTATTCTCACATGATCAATTCAACGTAACGATATGAGGAGATGTGTCATTATGAGACAAAAATCTCTGCGGTATGTATTTTCAATATGCGCAAGAGGCATGTTGGATTCTCAAATACATAATTTATATGAACACGCATGCTGGTCAAGTTTTGTCTTTGGACAAATTATAAGGATTAGCTAATTAACATCGATGAAGGTATTACTTTGACAACTACCGTAAATTATGAAGGTCATAATTTCACCCTACATGTTAGTCATGATGATCGAGTTACCTGCAAGCAAGGGTTAATCATTTCAGAGTGAAAGTATCAAAGTTCAAAGGTTGACGGCAAAGTGCCAATACGTGCTTATACAAATAAGGCTAATGAGGCTTCAAATTCTGGAAGTGAAGATAGACAAAGAACCTATCTTTCTCATTTTCTTCTTAAAGTGGAAAATGTGATTGATTTAATGATAGCATTGCAAGAAACTACAATTATGAAAGAATTGTAGGGGTTGGTTAAAAGTAATTTGCTAATTGAACGACATTTAAGATGTCATCTCTTGTAATGAGTAATTGTTTAAGGTATGGCAAGGTTAGAGATCTTCTTACAAATACCTTAAATGTGGGGGAGTTTACCCAAGTGCTTAGTGTTAGCAAATTACTTAATGAAGTCCTAATATAATTTTGAGGACTTGACAATGTCAAACAACTATTCTCGTATGAAATATAATTTCATAAGATGAATTGTGCATTCCATTAAAAATAGTCAACCTAATAGTGGATCCAATTATTAAAGGTTAGACTAGAGAGTAAGTTGATCATTGAAGGGAATGAGGCTAAAGCCAACATAACTAATGAATCAGCCGAGCGAAACCTAACTTAGTTGATTGGAGATCCCATGGTCTAAGTTCAATAGGAAAACTGGTTGGGCATTATTCAAAGAAGTTAACACATTATATACCTCATTCCTATGATAGAAGAAGTGTGTTGTCTGTAAGAAGTTTTAGGTTGTATATTTATACTTAATGACATTGATATCTTATAAATAAGAGGAATAGAGCAGACTATTCTTAATCAGTGGTCACCTATATGAGAGTAGAAGTGAGTCGCTTCTATGAGAATGAGATGGCTAAATTCTCTAAAGCTCTCATGAATCCGGGATTTATTCAGGACCAAAATGAACACAACTGTATGAACTGGAATATATTAGGATTAGTGATGTGTGTTGCTTATTGTCTCGGTTTACTGCTGCGGTGAACAGTTCAAGATTTTATATTCACTGCATCACCAAGTAAATCCGATAAGTATTCACTAGGGTAGGTTCAAGTCCAAAAGACACCTCTCCTGATGCATCCCTTGTCCACCTGTACTCCCAAATTCTTCCTGATTTTCATTCATGTGGGGGATTGTTGGAAATTATATATTATAATATGAAATATGGTAATATATAATTTTAATAATTGAATGAAAAATAGTGTTAACCAATTTCTTAGAAAGGTTATGTTGTTTAGGTGTATTCTCTTGATAAGTGATGTATACTTATAGATGAAAAGTTACATCTCCTTAACAAAAAGTACTTGGGTTCTATATAAACTCATGAAACCATTATCACTAATATATAGAAAATTAAAGTTAATTTTTACTCTTGAGAAATAGGGTTTCCCCACTTTGTTTCTCAAATGATTTGTGTGTCAAATTCCGAGTCGTGTCTTAAGAGTACATAATATATGAAGTTCGCCAGAGTCCAAATATTGAAGTGCTTTGACTTCGGATTATAGATTGTTGAATCCTGGGAAGATGGACGCCTACCGAACTACAAGCACAAGAGTAGGGGCGAAATTCTATCTTTAGAACATTGCATTTATGCAAGCCTCAATCTCCAAGTATGTCAGTTATTCTAACTTTCTCTCTAGTTGTTTATATTAATCTCATATATAATTGATGTTGTGAAATTTCTTTATGATTATTTTCATTGGAATTATATTGTTATTTCTCATATTTTCTATTATTGCTCCAACATTCCCAAGGAAGCTCGGAGTACTTAGTTTGAAGGTTTTGGACGTCGGGATCGCAGGGTTCGAAGTTGGCCGGTTTTCTTGGATTTTCTTCAGTGAGATTTCGTGTGTTTTTTAGCCTTAAATTAGTACATAGTGATTCTACATGCTCAGGGCTTCATTTTGGTATAAATTGCGAAAAAAAAATGGTTGAGAATTGACGGAGAATAAGAAGTTTGAAAATAACCCCAGAAACCGGCGACTTTTCCGTCGCCAGCGAAACCAGTCCGGCAACTGGAGGTAGGGGATGACGCGCGTGGGGGCGCGCGTGAGGGCGCGTGATAGATCCAAAAATGTTTCTAAAAATATCTCAACGTCCGTGACGTCGAGTAGGTCACTGTGGTATATTCATATACCCAAATTGAGCATCGTATGAGAAGTTATTACGTATTGTTGGTTGTGTGCTTTAAAATAACATTTTTATAGTTGTTTTGCATATAGGTGAGACCTATCCTGAGGACGAGCGCTTTCAAGGGCATCACGGGGGTTACGACCCTTCGACATACCAATGAGTGGGCAGTTATTTTTTGTTTATACCTATATACTACTGATTTTTCCCATAAATTGAATTTAAAGGGAAGTAGGTTTTAAAATGCCTTGCATACATAATATATGAAATATATGAATTAGTATTTGATGCATATATATGAAATGGTGTTGTGGACGCACAGGTGAGTCTCAGGTGAGTTTTATGTGTTCATGTGAATTATTAATGAGATGAATTGTGTTGAGAGCTCATAATATGCACCCCTGGTGTTAGTGCTTATATTATTCACCCCGCACCACACGCTCACCTTGGATCCAAGTAGGTGCATGCCGAACAGACCATTAGAGGTGGTTCCGACTTGTAGGTGACTTTAGATTATTATACAGCTGTTGATGAGAGAAGCACTAGAGTGTATTCTTACACCATTCTTGTCGTACAGACTACTTCAGGTAGTTCCGATTTATGTGCAGAATAGTGCCGTACAGGTCACATTGGTGACTCCGGTTGGGTTGGATATTGAGGTATAGAATTAACCGTACAGGACAACTGCAGGGTCTTCGGTTGATTCATTATTTCACCTGTTATATTGATGCATCCTTATCATGTTTGAAGCATAGCATGGCATATTTCTTGAAAAGTGTTAAAGACTTGTGATTTGAGTTTTGCTGTTATATATGGTTATATATATACTATTTTTCTGGGAAAGTATACAGGTTTTACAGTGAGGGGTTAGAAATGTTGTTAAATGAAATATTTTCGAAAAGCTTTGTTTTACTAACCCACTCAATCTTGTTTTGCGCCCCTCCAGGTTTTAGTTAGCAGTGTTGGTGGCCCACGAGGATTCCCACGGCGTCCTGACAGATTACTTAAATGTAGGACTCACCTCCGGGTGTTGTAACTTAGTAATGGTCCTACTTGACTGCACTTAGTACTTATACTCTAAATATGTGTGTTTTACACTTAAACTCACTCTAGCATGTTAGTTAGATATTATTGCTAGTAGTTGGTTTTTACTCCTTTGTATTTCTTTTATCTTTTGCTTCCGCATCGCACTTTTGGTTACGTCACGCCCACGTGACGGCCATCACACATTGATTCTAGGATCAGGATGTGTGTCGTTTTGGTATCAGAGCATAGGTTTGTAGTTTTGTATAAATTGTGAATGCTCTAATGATCTTTTGGTGTCTTCTATCAGAACCATACCACCTCGTAGGGAATCACGTCGTGCTCCTGAGCCTAATTTCCCTGACATAACTCAATTAGGGGAAGCGATGGCCCATGCCTTTCAGACTGCAATCCGTTCTCCTTAGAGAACAGCCCTGAAGACTATGTACAATCTGAAATTAGACCGCTTAATGGGTAATGAGGGTCATGAAGGGGCATAAAAGTGGTTAGACCATATTGAGAAGACCTTTTAGGTGATGCAGAGTCAAGGGAATCTTCCTGCTAGTAGATGGGTCGAGACCACTACTTGATTTTTAGAACGAGAGCCAGCAGCTTGGTGGGTAAATCAAACTCAGTTTATGTCACCTGAAGCGGCAACTGATTGGGAAGTATTCAAAGAGAATTTTAAGAAAATAATTGTTCCCCCGAAGTACATTGATCGTAAGAAGTAGGAGTTCACTCAATTGAAGCAAAAGAATATGTCGGCGCATGAGTATTACAGGAAGTTTACAGACTTATCCCGTTATGATCCTGATACAGCTGGTAATCAGGTAGAGATGCTTTGCCGTTTTAAGCAGGAAACTAAGAGGAAATGGCGGACGTTCGCTAGTGTGATTCCTTGCATCACGTACCATGAGTTTTTTGAGATTTTGGTTCGGATGGAGGATTCCAAAAATCTTCATAGTGATAGTGAGGAAGATGAAGATAAGAATAATAATCAGAAGAAAGATGACAGGGGTAAAGGTATCTCCAATCAGGGACCCCGTAAGACACAGAATTTCAAGAGAAATGGAGCGAGCTCAAGTTCTTCCAGCGGAGGATTTAGTGTCACAGGCCCGAGGAGAGGTGGAAGATTTACTAATGGACCCAGGTTTCAGAGACAGAGAAACTTTGGTGGTGCTGGTGGTTCAGGTCCTCCGTTATGCCGCCGTTGTAATTTCAGACATCATGGAGAGTGTAGGAGAAATGGCGGTGGTTGCTACACTTATGGACAGATGGGACATAGAGCTGCTCAGTGTCCCCAGAGTCAGCAGAGGCCTCAGCAGTCTGCTATACCACCTCCAACGCCGATTCAGCAGAACTTTGGATCAGGCAGTTATGGTCAGACGGGTCGTGGTGGTGCTTACCACTATCAGGGTGATGCTGCTCCCTATGCTTCCGGATAGAATCAGTATTCCCAGGATCCTTATTTTCAGACTAGGTATTCCTCAGAAAGTTCCCTGGAAACCCACCTTGTGCTCCTTGAGTAACATAATCAACACCATATCCACTTTGAGAAGCCTGTCAAGCATGCTAGCATCATGTCAGTTTTAATTTTTCGAATACATGACTAATTCTGCAATTGCAAGTAATAGAGGTTCTTAAATTACATAACATAGTACATTAGGAAAGTAAATGGCGCAGACACAAAAAGGGCAAGGGAAAATCCTCCTATAAATAACCTTTTCCTTTCAATTTTTCTTTTGCATGATGTAGGAATTCTTCTTCCATGTGAAATTAATTCATCGAAAATGTAAAAAAAAAAGGTAATTAATGAAAAACATTGTCCAACATCCTTCAACAAACCACTTAAGGCATAGCCCAAAAACACAGGCTAAAAATGCATATTTGGTCACTATACTTTGCCTCTATTTCATTTTCGGTCAGTGTGTTTGGTTTTGCAAGGAATTTAAAAACAATTTTGAAACTCTGGTAATTAACAAGTTAGAATCCAGATTTTAATTTTGGAAAACAATCTGTCTGTTTTCAAGAAAATGTTGCTAAGGGACTGAAAGACCACGCTATAGGCCTCCTAAAACTACTTACACTTCTCGGGTTTATCCACTTTGCATTGTGATAAAATTGCTAACAAAAATTGAAATACAGTGACTATATTGATACATTTAAAACCACAGGACCAAAAGTGATTTTGAGTCAAAACACAGTGAACAAAAATATATTTTACCCAAAAATTAAATCCAGAAATACACTGCAGAAACAAACAAATAACGTATGGCCCAGCATACACTAAAAATACAACAAAAGAAAAAGCACCGCAACTTCGTACCTGAGTGGAGAAGTCAGCAACATTATACGGAACATGTGATCCCTGACTTTTAAAGTCATCACCCAAACATTCCTGGCAACATAAAATCAAACATGAAATTAAAAAATGAATATCAACATGACAAGTTACTACGAACATCATGTTTAGTACGAGAAAAACCTGAGACATGCCCGCCATGGAAAATCCATCACGAAACGTTTGGCTTGGCCCTTGAACTGGCATCTGTTGCATACAACAAAGAAGAGCACATGCATCAGGCGGGATGAGGGAACAAGATCTAGGGGAGAATTGGTACATGAGAAAAACAGATGGATAAAATGGGCCGGTACAAACATTATTGACAAATCCATGTTGAGATAAGGGGCCACCAACAGATGGTTGGCTATTTGGATTTTCAAGAGAAGGAATGTTGAAGGTAGACCCCATATTCCCAACATTTTGTTGTGTGCCTTGCTGGTGCGGAAGATGACTGCCAATTGGAGAACCGGCATTCCCACGTCCTGCCCCAAAACCACGACTTCCAGGTTGAGGGACATGAGGAACAGCTCCAACTGGTCCATGCACAGCTCCACGAGTTGGAATAGCATAAGGTTGAGAAAGGGGTCCTCCATGAAATGGCGAAAGAGGTGCCCGAGGTAATGGATATCCAGCCGGATGTACACCAGGCTGGGTACCATTGGTGGGCCAGGAGGTAGGTAAGAACCTGCTTTTGGCATAAACAATTTATAAGGATGAAAGACAAATCATTATTTTAGAATACGAGACCAGTTAAGGTTTTCTACTTATTTATTGGATTAAAAACTTAGAACTCGGGGGTTAATTATTTTTATCTATTTCCTTGTCTATGTGGGATTAATTACTTTTAACTTTTAAAGGGAAAAAAATTAACATTTCAACGCATGTGAAACCGTTTATTTGAATCACCATATCAAATGAACCCAAGTTCATATACTAAACACTAACATATCAATAACCATTACGTTAAAAGTGTTGGCTTCAATTTTTCATTTAGATTTCTTCCCTTTTTCATCCCTACTACTTTTGTATTTGGTGGAATAGGAAAAGTAAAAGAAATATCAAAACAAATATAACAAGAACACCATCAGAGTAAAATGGAAAGCGTGGAGAAAACAAACAATGCACTTCATCCTACAATTCCTGGAGAAAGAAGGTAAAAAGGGAAAGATAAAAGTACTAACATACCCCTACCCCGATTACTTCTTCTATCAGCACTTTGGCCAGCTGAGGCAACAGACCCATAACTGTCATTGGGGATAACTCCAGGACCACCACCATAGAATAGGCGACGATCATTGTAGATCTGTGTCAACATAAGAGCAAACACAACAAATTTACATCCATCATAAATTGGTGATCTCATAATTAAGATCCAAATCCCACAACAGATTAAAAATATGAGTACATCAAAAGAAAAAGCATGAAAACTTAATTTTTGCCTTCTCTGCTAGTGACATACCTTTTTAGGCTTTGGAAATTGCACCATACTCTGCTTCAGGTTATTTAGCGGCCCCTCAACCAAGCACTCGTGTTCCTAACGGTGTATAAAATGTCAGTACTATGGAATGCTAAAGTCTGTATATCAACCCATACAGAACAATCATTTTTAATGGGCACATGACAATCAAAGAAAGAAGAAAAGGTGAATAAAATAAACAGGAGGAAAACATAAACAAAATTCGCAGTACATCATTAATTAGCAGTAACAAATATGCTGCCAGCCGTACAAGTATTAGCCAGCTGCCACCAATCATTCCCAATATGACTTCTTTCTTTTGGAAACTACAATTGAGCGACTCACTATACTGCTTTGGTAGTACACATAACTTTATCTATAAATGGACACACTACAAACACAATGAACCAGAGGACCTAAAAGGACTTGAGAAAAACAGGACGAGAACAAAAAAAATACATATCTAGCAGAAAAAATTGGTCAAGTTAAATAACAAAAAATACTTGAGAAAAACTTAAGTCTTTTTCTATTAGCTGGAATAAAAAACAAAAGGCACAGGTCAACACACACCAACAATATCAAAATTACAGAGAACAGTTAATACCTTGTAATGAGTCAACAGGCTATTCCACAGTGGCTGCTTACTAAGAACTTTAGGGTTTCCAAGAATGACAATACCATATCGAGCGCGTGTTAGAGCAACATTGAGCCTGCGAGGATCATTAAGGAATCCGATGCCCTGAAAAAGGAGTGTATTAGCCAGGAATCCTCACCCCCCGCCGCAGCAGGGAAATAGCAACAAAACAATTCAAATGTATATTGATAACAGAAAAATGTGCATACTTCACACAAGTGGTTTTATGAACTCACCTGATGCTCATTACTCCTTACACACGAAAGGATGATATAATCCTTTTCCCGTCCTTGAAATGAATCTACGCTGGCAACCTGTAATAACATAAACAATGAAGCAATATAGACAAAATAGGTCAAGAGCAAAGGCTTCTACATGTGATGAATATATTACCTCAATTTCCTTATAAAGTTGCTGTCTGAGAGCACCATTTCTCGACATATGGTTCACAATATAAGCTCTCTGTCCCTCATATGGTGTGATCACTCCAATCTATAAAGTGTATTTTTATTAAATTAATGAAACATGGAATCCAGATATAAAATGCTAAACCCATAAGGAATGTTGTAGGTTCACCTGACTAGGGACTACGCCACTCCTCAAGAATGTTGTGACAATCTTTTCAACGTTAGCAGCCTCAGTTCTGTTCAGATAGGATGTTCCACTAGCACTTATCTCCTCTTGCCCCATCTATAACACAGCTGTATGAGTCCAGAACAAGTCTTCGGAGAAAATATGATCTAAAAATGTCGACAGAAAAGCACCTAGTAGACTCTTTGCAACAAACTTTTAGATGGTTTAAATTATTCGACTGGCACTTATTGTTACCTGTACATAAAAGAACATGGGACGATTGGGAACCGGCCAAGGAAAATCAATGCCCGATGATTGCCTTTCATTGATGGTAACTCCATTTTGAAGTGTGCCCTCGTAGAAGCTGTTAGATGGAAATTCTGACAAGGCTGGATGCATTCGGTATTGAACCTAAAATTAAATCACACAAAATATGTTAGTCTTGCAACACATGCAAGCAAGAGCAATTTCACTGTGAACGACATACAACAAGACAGAAAGTGTCATAAGCCTCTTAATGGTGCACTGATAGCTACACTATGCAACTTAATATTTGAATCAGAAACAAGACTGATGACAGAAAAGAATTAAAATCAAATAAAAAAGAACCAAACAAGTTAAATGTTGAGAATAATCCAAACAAATTAAATCATAATAAAGTTTATTTGCTCACAGAAGCTACGGAAAATGTGATAAGAAGGGAAAAAATAAATACAGGTACCTAAACTCCAAAGCAATAAACAATGAGTTAAGGGCAAATACATTGAGAACTGCAATAAGCTTCCAATAAAGAGATAAAGATAAGTAAAGCAACAACTTCATTGGCACACTTTAATATTGAATTGAATGTTCATGCTGTAACATTAAGAAGAAAAGACCAATATCATATCTATTGATGAATGGGTATACAAAACAGTGTTTTAAGGGCGCGCCTAAGCGCCTTTGGAGGCAGGATGCGAGTGATAACGCCTCTGCCCAGTGGGAGTGGGCAAAAACTCGCCAAGGCACGCCCAAAGGCGGTTGGCGGGCGTTCCCAGATCCATCCGTGACCCAAAATCGAAGTCAAATGCTCTGTTGTCTGGGTAAATCGAAGTTGAAGGTTCTGTTAGGGTTGCAGGGTGTGCAGCGTCTTCATGAGGAAGACGACCGTGAAGAAGAGGAGGGATTTTTTTTTTCAAGGACTTGGTCCAAAACGATGTCGTTCACTTTAGGCCAAGTCTTTAATTTTTTTTAAATGACGTGGCCCAAAGCAACATCATTTTGGCCAAGTCTGTTTTTCTTTTATTTTTAAAACCACAAGAGTCCCCTGTTTTCCCTGTTTTTCTCAGCAGTCCCCTATTATTTAAGGTCCCGTAAGGCTTCGCCTCACACCTAGGCGGGGCTATCCATGGAACGCCTTGCCCACACCTCTGCCTTTTAATACATTGATACAAATAACAAAACTCAGATTTCATCTCTGATTATCCAACATAAAAGAATAAATAAACAAACAAATAAACGTAAAAAAAAAGGCAAGTAAATGTACACTAGCAATGATACTATGCGCAGCTACCCATGCAGACACTGAAAACTGTGGACCAATTACCTGCAATCTAATTGGTTTCACACCAAGTATAACGAGGCGTTCAAAAAGAGACTGGGCAAGCCCAGCACGAGCTGCTTTCTTGCACATAATGACTGGACCAAGCTGGCAGTGATCTCCAACAAGAACAACCTAATACAGAAATTTCTCATCAGACTCCGGGCAACAACTTGTTAAAAATCAAGCTCATAATCAAAATTTAGCAACGTCTACGTATTTGATCTCAAAGTACCTGCTTTGCCCCAAGAACCAAAGGAATCAGGCATTCAGGTTCTGTAGCCTGAGTCGACTCATCAATAAGTACCTACAAGCAGAGGATAGATTTGTGTAAGCTATTTTTAAGTTGTGACAGATAGTAACTAACTGTTAATTTAAGACTTATTTCAACCTGACGGAACCTAAAATTGGCCAATCGAGGATCTCCAGCACCAACACATGTGCAACAAATGACATCAGCACTCTGAGAAATCTCCCTCTCGGTTGCCCGCTTCAGTGCCTTATATTTTTTCTCATCATTACTAGACAACTCTCCTGTAAAATTTCAGGAACTAATGAGCATCAACTCAAGACAAATATACATAGTTTTTAGAAAAGCGAAGTGACCTTGCTCATCCTTCAATTGTTGCAGCTTGTGAAGTTCACTCTTTTCTGACATGTCAAGATGACGAACCTGAGATGAACAGAGTCGGTATGCATCCAGTTAAATAAGTGAACATAAAGAAAAGCCGGACATGAAAAATTATTAATTAAGGCAACAAGTCAATACAAACCTGGTAATGAAGGGTTAAATGCTCAACAGGAGAACTTACGGCTTCCCTTGATTTTGCACAAAGTCTAACAACCTTAAATACCAAAAGGAAGAAAAAAAAATCGGACAAATTCATAAGAAACTTACCATTACCAAAGAGACATATAATACATAAAAACTTTTGCAATGTTTGATGCAAAAATGAGTTAATTCCTGAATCTCATAAACAGCACAAAACTGTAAACCAACTAGTTTCAAACAAATAGAAATCAGATTACACACTGCTATGCTTTACAAAGCAGAACAAGTGATACTTGAGAGGGAGTCATTCTAAGATGGAAATAAATACGTTTAGGTACTCATTTTCTGATTTCTTGATGCTTGTTATTACTTTTCTTTGATGGATATAGATTTCAGCTTAATATAAAAAGCAACAACATGAACAGTGAACAACCGATCTATCATAAAGAAGAGCAATCTAAAATTCAGAGAAAAGGAAACTACTAAACAGCCGAGCAACAAAACCATCATTTAACCCAGGTAAATAAGAAGCTCTCCAATCTAATAAAATATAAGAGAAACAGAATCCATTTATGTATCTGCACAACATTGCATACACAACCAAGGGGATATTTAAATATTCATTCAAAGAGCCACAAAAACAAATGGGACACACTTTAGAGTCAGTATAATTGCAGGCAAAGGCCAAGCACTAGTCCTCTACCTTCAACCCAGTTGCACTTATCTTCTCAGCTAGTTGGTCTACAGCAACATTACTAGGAGCACACACCAAAACCTGGTAAAGAGAGAAATTGTGATTAAAACACGGGCGAGAGAGAGGGACAGGAAATAACAAATGTTAGTTATTTACCTGTCCCTGGCCTTGTTTAGCCATGTGATACACAATTGCTGCAGAAGTCACAGTTTTTCCTGTGCCAGGTGGACCCTGGATCAAACTTATAGGCTTCTGAAGGACACTCTTTACAGCAAAAACCTATCAATACAAAAGTGTAAGACACTCAGATTAGACCAACTACAACAAAGGATCCTGAAAAGGACCTAGAAAATGCTGTTACAAAATACTTGGGATAGAGATGCATTTGATGTGAAAAACTAGTATATAGAAAAAGAGAGGATAAGCCAGAAAACAAAGCAAAGTACAGAGCTCTTCAACAAAAATCTCTTCAATGTATCATGAACATAGAAGATAACAATAAGTGTAAAATCAAAATATCATACTTGAGATGCATTGAGCTCCGGAAGACCAGGTGCACCAAAACGGCGAGGCAATGTGTTACGGACCATTTGAACCTCTACTTCATGGCCTAACAAATGATGATAAATATATCTGCACAAATAGTATAAAGAAACACTTAAGTTAAATGCAAAACATTAAAATCGCTGCAGCCTGACATGATTTATTTTCCTTTCATTTTAGGTAACATACTTTCATTGAATAAAATACAAACTGAAACAGCTAATGCAATATCTGCTCTAAAAACCAATTTATGCTTGTCATCTCCATAAAATATTTAGCAATACAAGAATTATAACACAGAAGTAGAATCAACACTTATAAGTCGCATAATGATAAGCATGTTATCAAATTTTATTTTTTTTGGAAACAAAAGGCTGTTCTTTCTAAAACTTAAAAGTCTGGCAAAGAAGATGCGGAAAAAGGAAAGGATGAAAAAAAAAAAAAACCCACTGCAAACCTACCCACTAACACTTGTCTCGTCCACTGCAAAAGCTTTCATAGCTCCCTGCATCCGATCAAAACTTGTACTCTTCCAGACAAAGTCAACACTGAAGCCATGGTTCAGATCAACTGGAACACCCTGCACACAACATGAATACACATTAGTAACAGCCAAGTTTAATGAATTAGATAACAATATATACGCTGCACTAATACTAAAACTACCTGACTGGCACGAAGTTCAAGTGCAACCTCTTCTTGTGGAGTTAACTTGATCTGAAACAGCAGATAAATACTATTGAATAAGTGCCACAAAACTAAAACACATATACAATATATAATCTTAATGCTTCGGGAAGGAGGCATACAACATGTCCCACTGACTGCCATGCTGGATGAGCTGCATCTCCAGAATAACGAAGCCGCAACTCATCACCAGGTACAAGGCGCAATTCATTGTCTTCCTGCGGCAACCAAACAAAAACTGAATGTTCAAAATACATACATATGAACAGAACGAACTCCATGCATATGGTACTAAAAGAATTCACCAAAAAAAAACTGTACAAAGTTTTTGCAGATAGTCACCTTTGTAAACACAAATAAAGCAATACGCTTCTTATTAAGACCAATATCCCACCGAATTGTGACATTATCTTTACTTTGAGATTCTTTCATCATCTACAACAAAAATAAGATCATAAGAACTTAACAACTTGCCTGTTCTGTACCACAGGGATCATAAAAAAGAAATCTTTGAATTGAAAAGAAAAAGGAAAACAGAGGTTAGTCTTCATACTTTATCATAGTCAGCTTCAAGTTTAATAAGTGGTGCAAACACATTTTGATACTGCATCAGAAACAAGGAAAACATCAGCTTATCAGCAAAACATCCATTTAGAAGATGCAAATTCTCCAAAGGCTTCCTATGTCATAAAATGAACAAGATTTCAGCCTTCTCAAAATTTCAAAGCATATGCAATGAATTCCAAACAGATTCACCTGGTAAGCATCTTCATACTTCAAGGCCACAGGTTGGGGTTCATCGTCCACACCCGGCTTCTCGAGATCTTCAAGGGAAGCATCAGGATTGGTCTTCCAAAGTTCTTCTACTTTATTTATTTGTTGAGCACTGATTTGGCGCGCCCTTAGCTGCTCCTGTTCAGACGGGACCTGCAAAGCACAGCATCTTAAAACCCCTAAACAGAAAACCATAAATTGCCTCAGATGAAAATAACTATTAACCTAATGATAGAGTAGTGAAATACCAAACCTTAACAAGCCACTGCAAGAAACACCTATCATCTATCAGGGGACACCACTGGCTCAGATCCCAGTTCATATCCTTCAATGCATTAACACTTAAGCAGGGTTCCCTACAAAGAAGAACAACAACACTCTCTGTCTTGGCTGAAATAAATCCCAGAAGGAATACATTACGACATCCACAGTTGTAGCATTCAAGGATTGTTTCTCCCAATGGGCTATCTTTATGAAGACAGACTTCCTTGTGTTTGGCTCGGACCTACAAAACCCAACATAAGAGTTATCAGAATGCAATGTCTATCCCTTATTAATAATGTCAGCTAATAGTATACAGCAATTGAAAGATTTATCTTCAAGCTTGCATTTGGGAACCAACCATATGCAACCACCTAAGAATCAGCACGCTATTGAGAAAAAAAGTTATGTATGATATGAGGCTCTAACAGCTGGTACTTTCATTATATTTAACAGAAAATTTGTGGTTGCATATCCTTAAAAATTCGCACGTGAAAAGGCTGTTCAAAGCATCAACAAAGATTAATTTTTCAAGATTGAAAAAGTTAAAAGACATGAATGGAAGAAGCAGTTCAATTTTTACAAAATTTATGTCTGCTCAATGTGAAGTGAAGTCAAATGAGGCAGTTTATGGTAAGTTCCCATTACACTAGAGCGAAGAAATTGAAGCCCAAGTAATTTAGGGCCTATTGGGATTGCTTCGGGACGGGATAAATGCGCTTGCTGACAGCCAAATGAGCTTTCTGATTGCGTTTGGAAAAAAAAACTGTTTGAAGTGCTTCTGGATCATAGAAGGCCTTTCTGAAAAAGCACCTGCTAGATGCTTCTCCAGGAAGCACTTTCAACAGCTTTTAGAGGAGGCACTTGGATATTTAATAGAAATTTCAATGCATTTCTAGTGTAAGCACTTCTAGTTCCTACAGAAGCAATCCCAAATAAGCCATCATCAATTATACAAAACATTTACTGGCATCACCTAGATATTAAAACCTTCAATTCAATCAAACTCGACCATAGAAACTATGACTCCTTAATTTAGCTTGTAATTTAACCAATGTTTTAAAAGGCGAAAGCAAAGCCAAGGCGTTTCATGAATAGTCCCGCCTAGGCGAAAGCCTTGAGGCATGAGGCGAAGCCTCACAGGACCTAAAATTATTAATATACATAATATAATCGACAATAGAGTTGAAGTCAAACATATAGAGTCGAAATCAAACATCTAGAGTCAAAATCAAACATATTGAGTCAAAATCAAACATTATAGAAGAATAATCAACAATCAAATAAAAAGTTTATTCACTGTAAGTGAGAAACCTTAACCTTTAAAACAAAAAGGCCCCTGCTACGCCTCACGTGCCTACCTCGACCACGCCTAGGCAAGTTTAAGCTTAATCCCGCTGGGCAGAGGAGTTTTCCTCACTGCCCCGCCTCGAAGGCCGCCTAGGTGCGCCTCAAGGCTCATTCTTTTAAAACATTGATTTTAACTTTAAAAAATTATTTGGAGCCCATCCATGATCCCACTCGAGCTAACATAAATTGAAGGAGGATATGAATGATACTCTAATGCTCTATCATACAATGTAATAATAAGAGTACTATCAACTCAAGAACGGCCACATGATTGGCAGAAAAGAAGTATCAGAAATCAAATCATGCAGTCTTGTAAACACCAAAATCTGAAGCATAATGATGGTTGCTTAAATCATATTAAACCAATGTAATCGTTAACTCCATTCGTATGTAAGATCCAATGACGTCCACGCAGACAAATCAGAGGAATATTGATCCAAAATTTCTGGTCAAATGCCTTTCATTAATGGAAGTTTAATAATAAGTGGTGTGGGAAGTAGAAGACTTCCAAATTTTCGTGTCAATAAATAAGTA